TCAACCGTCCCAAACCCGGTGAAGCCACACTGGGGCAGCTCGGGGCAACTTTTGCTTTTGCCTGTTGGTAAAAAGTCACAGGTAGAGCCGTGTCTCGGTCCCTGAAGCTGCGGTCAGGCATTCAACATCCCCTCATGAATCGCTCGTTCCCCGTAAAATAACAAAATTTCTCACGGACCTGTTTTCCTTCTCCATAGGCTGGTTTTCATTTGTCTGGCAGCTGTTAGCGCTGGGCTTTGGGAAGATGAGGCAACAAACCACCACCCGGAGATGAAAAAGTTCAGGTATTTGGAAGTGCTTTACCCAGGTCACGTAAATAACACGAGCTGGGAAAGTAAAATACCGAGTTAGCAGGGATGCAACTAACACTGAGTGTTTTAGCGTTTTGCCAGTGGTCGTGCTATAAATGATATCTGGGAGTAGGAACTCCCTCCTGTAGCTGCAAACCTGCTTCTTTCTAAATAAGCATGGTGCAAGGAGGTGTTGCGTGTCCTCTGTCTGTGCCGGGGGTGCTCCTCAAGCCACTTTGGAACATGGTCAGTAAAAATAAGAGAGTGTGTGTGTGTGTGTATATATATATTGGCAGGAGAGTGGTGGGTGAGGTGTAGTATTGTTCATTGGCAAGCGAGCACAGAAACTTGGGCTTTGAGGGTGAAGTCTGGAACGTGTTTTGGCTCTGAAAGGGGCAATGGTTTGCCCTGGGTCAGCCCAGGCTCCCGGGACCGGCTCTGTCCCGCTTGGTGCCATCCCAGCCCCCCAGCAGTGAGATGTCCCTGCCAACGTTCACGTGTGGAGCTGTCTCCTGCCCCAGAATCGCAGAGGTTTGGATGATCTTTTTAAAACGGTTTAAAACAATTGAAATGGTTTAGAAATCCATCAACTAATTATTTAACCCTTTGTGATGCAAACCCAGACGTACACATCTGACTGGCCAGGCTTTTCCCTGTGGGATTGCTTTGGACACCCCAGGGTGGGGGGGTCAGTGCCCTGCCCCAGGCTGAAATTTTTGTCTCCTTAATTTCTGACATG